CAGCTACAACTCCATTCCTTTCTTTGCAATTTAAGAAGAACATAGAAAACAAGTGAAATTATTACAAAAGTGATCTTGGACTCTGTTCTAATTTATTTATTGACAAGTAAATGGTCCCTACACTTTAGTACTTTACCTATAATTTACCCACAACCAATCTCACAACTGATTAGGACTATTGCCATTAAGAACAACTGCATTAGAGGATATTTACCAACTAACATTGCCATCAAAATCAACCATCTTTTTAGAAGAAAGAATGGTTTCAGAACAGCACACAATTTTATTAAGGAGACCAATAAAATAAATAACAAATGCCAATGGATTGCTCCCTTCAATTGCTAGAGGGTTGGCATTTGTGCACCTGCTATGTCCTTCCTCCTATACTGTTACATGACACCAGAAGTACTTCCTGAGTTTTAAAAACTTAAGATTTAGTCTCTTTCTGGAACTAAGACATTGCTACATGATAAAAGTAGCACATCAAATGAAGTTCATGGCCATCAATACAGTCTCTCTATTAATGAGCACTGAGAAATGCAAAGAGAAGGGATGATGGTATTGGAGTCAGGCAAGCAAAGATTTTCCTTTCATGAGAGTAACTCCTTAGCTGGTCCTCGATGAAGACAATGAACATGGTTTAGGATAGAAGGCGTAACTATGAGAACATTGTAGGTGAAGAGATTGACTCTACAAACGAGCCAAGGTGGGAACACATAGACCAGGAAGCCATTCACCACCCCTTCTTTCACCACAACCACTTGCAGAGAGAATCGCAGGCTCATAGGACATACTTCTCTAGGTGAGTGGGTTTTTTTTTTAATTTAAAACCTCACAATGCAATAACCAAACCCTTACTAGGAATAAGAAAGGCATTTGCCTGCAATTCTTGTCCTGTCACAGCATCACTCATGTTATATAAAGAAATCCAAACCCCTATTCATCACTCCTTCTCAGAACTCATCTACAATTTAATCTACGCTAAGAACCTTCACATAATGAAATGGCTTTTACTGAGCCATTACATGCATCGCCCTGATTCGAAACAGCACATATTTCAAACATACCTCATGGACTCCAAGAGTTGTCTGAATTGCTTATGGGTGGAGAAAGGCCAGGTTTGTATGCTCTACTAGCCACGTGGAGAGTATGAAAGTATATAGTGTAAAGAAAAGTGAAAAATTTAAAATTAGGTTAACAGGGAACAAAGAAGGAAAGAGGGTAGGCTGGCAAAATAATTAAATCATCATTTCTAATACGAGTAGTACCATGTATTTAAAAACTGAGTTTGAAAGGCCCATTCAGAAAAGAAAAAAAATCACCTTTATACACCACATTCACAGCCAGGTTGATTTTTATTTAATATGGTTCATGGGTGAGAAGGTAAGGGGCAGAGTTATGATGGAAATGGAGTACAATACAAGAAAAGATACAGTAAGATGCAAGACTAAACAATAAATAAGAACAGAGTAAACAGACACCTGGGAAACAACGCACAAAGATTCTCGCTTCGTTTCAGAAGGCAGCAGCTCTAACAGCTCTTACAACCAGACATCTTTCCCAGCAAGAGGCTCTAAAGGCACAGAGCTGAATTAATTCCCACCACATGCTTTTTCTTCTGTGCACTTATCTCAATGCGTCATCCTTCTTTGAAGCAAAAGACTCATTAATCCAATTCAAATTGCCAACATCAGTAAATCCTTTGCCTCAGCACTTAAATGCCAACACCAATTAAATACCAACAGCAACTTAACTACTGATATGACCTTCACTACATTCAGGAAATCCAGCCAGAAGTCCAGCTAGCATTAATTCCAACAATCTTCATCAATTTTAATTTACTCTGTGCAAAGAAATGAGGTAATTTGCTGGCCACCCCAACTCTGCATCCAACTGGATTGAAATAACTCCATAAGCAAACAAAAAAGGAACAAACTGAGTTGCAATCCACCAAACCTGAAAGACGTCTTCACCAGGGCTTCGGGGCTATCCAACTGTGGCAGTTCATCAGCTAGGATTTCCTCCGGTGGCCGGGGGTCATGGATGATCGTTGGCCGTGGCTTCTCCTTGACATTACCTGTGAGTCCATCGATGAGGGAGTTCCATAGACAGTTCTGTGACTTAGACCCTGTGACATGAGGAAAAAAGGTGTGCAGGTGAGTTACCAATCGACTCATGTCTTACCTTCCCCAACTCAGGATTTTCAAAAGCAGAGCAGGAACATTTATTCATTTCTCATGATCTCCACCAACATCAGAAAACTCCAGAAGACTTATGGAGTAACCAGGGATTTTTTAATTTGTATGTAGAAAATAGGCTTACACTGTGAATATTTTGGCTCATAGCTAAGTATTGTGGATATATCCTAGTCTCACTAAAGTGGTCATCCAACCCCAAACTCTTGAGAGAACCACAGGTATCTACTGAGATACTTATTCAACAGTTTGGAGGCATACAAAGGATTGCCATTTTAGAGAACAGTGAAGATGTTCAGACACAAGTCTCTGCTATGAACTCAGTACGCCTGAGGCCCAAGTCTCAAGACTTGTCTAAGAACTAGGTTCATTTTTCTGCAGGATCAAGATTCAAGGAAAATTACACTGCATGTTAATTGATATCCTACTCCACAAACACTTAAAAATATAAGATGAATATTAAAGGTAGACATAAAGTAGAAATGGTGTCAAAAAAAATAGAGTCTGATCAACCAGGTGATCAAGGTCAACATAAACAGTGATAAGTCATTGTGGAAGTATGTACGCTTGATACGATGTGATGAGAATGGCACTTTACCTATGGAGCCTTCCTCCTACAAACATATAACCCCAGTCTAGTCATGGGAAAAAAGGAGTCCTGGTAGCGCAATGGTTAAGTGCTCGGCTGCAAAACGTGGTTTGAACCCACCAGCCACTCCATGGAAGAAAAGACCTGGTGATCTGCTCCCATAAAGGTTTACAGCCTAGGAAAACCTATGGGGAAGCTTTACTTTGTCTTATAGGGTTGCTATGAGTGGGAATTGACTTGCCAGCACACAACAACAGTCATGGGGAAAACATTAGACAAATCCCATTTAAGGGACATTCTACAAAACACTTGACCAGTACTTCTCAAAACTAAGGTCAGCAATCATCCATCACCTCTAAAGTTAAAAAATGTGGAAGTATAACACACCATTCCGCCTAGACTTTCTCTACTCACTAACATTAGGAATCAGCTGTTCTCAGGCTTTGTCACTTCTTGAGTCACACTATGGAGGTAAGAGCACATGAGTGATACATTCCTATAAACATTATTTAAAATCCAGCTACAACTCCATTCCTTTCTTTGCAATTTAAGAAGCACATAGAAAACAAGTGAAATTATCAAAAGGTTATCAAAACCAAGGAAAGTCTGAGAAACTACCACAGCCAAGTAGACCCTAAGGAGACATAACAGCTAAATGTAATGTGGTATCCTGGATGAGATCCTGGAACAGAAAAAAGACATTAGGTAAAAAGTAAGGAAATCTAACAAAGTGTGGACTTTAGTTAAAATAATATAGGTAATCCCTGACTTAAACGACGTATTCAAATTCCAGCGAACCACACACACATAAGACCATCCTTTTTCTTTTCTTTTTTTGTAAATCTTACCCTTAGTAATATGTACTACTACATACAGTGTTACATCGTATAATTTGCTGATGTCATCATTCTCAGATGTTCACTTTTAGATATCAAAGTTTATGATTTACTGTTCAAAATACTGCCATATAAATTTAGTTCTCTAAACTAAATCAGGGGCTTCAGTTGCTTGAAAACATGGACCCAAACACTGGTCGCTCTGCTGAAGTCAACAGGCAGATTTGGCAAGCAGTGAGACGTTACCGTGAAATATATGAAGAAATAAAGAAAACGACATACAGACAACTCTCACTAATTTTCTAACTAGAAACTCCGTGCCCATTCCCAGCGATAATCCAGATGATCCAGAACCTTCCACAAGTGGAGTTGTTACTGCATCTGACAAAATGTCAATGTTGTCGAACTCTTCTTCATCATCAAATTTTTATGATTTGTGCATTTTTTATGTATATATAAAAATATGTCTGTAAGTTTATATGTAATGTCTCCAATCCCCAAAGACAAATAAAGATCAGATTTACAAACATATTGATAGTAAAAACCAAACCCGTTGCCGTTGAGTCAATTTTGACTCATAGGGACCCTATAGGACAGAGCAGAACTGTTTCATGGGGTTTCCAAGAGCGGCTGGTGGATTCAAACTGCCAACCTTTTGGTTAGAATAAAAGGCAGTAATCATGAAAAAAAAAAAAATGAGGTATTTGACTTACATCAGAACTGACTCACGATGGAGCCATCAGAACGAAACCCATTGTAAGTCAGGGACTACCTGTAATGTATCAATATTGGTTCACTAATTGTGACAAATGTACCATACTAATGTAAGAAATTAATAATAGGGGAAACTGACTATGAGGTATATGGGGATTCTATGTACTATCGTTGCAATTTTTTAAAAAAATTTTTTGTAAATCATCATTGTTTTTGCAGGCTATTCTCCACCCATAGGAAAGAAAGCCTTTATCTTGCACAAAAACACTGTTAGGTCACCAAGTCTTGCATTCACAGAGCTGTGTCCACCTATGCAAAGGAGGACCTTTTTCTTAATTCTTACAAAGGGTCTTTATGAAGATGAGAGGCATGCCTAGAGGGGTAAAGAGTAATGCCAGCTAATGCAAATAGTGTGAGTAATAGGTGGGTAGAAAATAAATCTGGGTACACATGAAGATGCCTGCTAGCCATGTGTAGCCCACCACGGAGGAAATCACCCTGGTTTGTAGTGCCTGAAGGGTATGCCTAACACTAAGATCAAAAGATCTTCACACACACAGGCAAGCACCTCACAAGGATGCCTGAACCTTCCCCAAGGACACCCATGAGTCAGCCAATAATTCACATCCAAACTGCTTCTGTGTCAACCAAGGGAAAATTAAAGGACACTAGTGAGAGGACAGAGACCCCTCCAGCCCCTGAAATGCAAGACAGCCTTTTTAAAGTTCTACACATATATCTTAATAAGATCTGGTCCTAAGTTAATGAAGGTCTGGTTCTAAGTTAATTAAGATCTGTTCTATGTTAACTTAAAGTCTGGTTCTAGAAGGAAGAACAACAGCAGCATCCCGTTTTCCTAAATTTGGTCTAAGCAAAGGCCTTATAATAAATTCCCTGCACAGTTCCCTTCATTCTTTCATTTATTTATTCAATAAACACATATTGAATTCCCTTGATGTGCCGGGTCCCATCTGGACCCTAGAAATAGAAAGATGAATGAGACAATATTCCTACCCTTGGGAACCAGTCAACCCACAAAAAATCATAATAAACAGATAATACACCATAACTAAGGGGCAAAGTGCTATGGGATACCAGAGGACCCAGGGAAGGTACACAGAGAAGATGACCTTTGATCTGGGTCTAAAGCATGAACAGAAGTTCAGCATGTAGGGAAAAAAGGGAAGAGTGTTCAGTATGAACAGCCTGTGCAAAGGCTCAGAGGTATAAGGAAGCAGCTTATTAAGGCTGGAGCAAAATGACAGGGGGAGTAGCCAGAGATAAGGCGAAAGGTTGGTTGGGTCAATTACAAAGTACCTAGAATAAAATGTCATTAAGATCTAGTAAGTACTGTCAAAGAGGCAAGCATGGGGCCTAATGGGAACATTCTTCTACACTCCCCTACCCCACTTGTCCTCTTATTCTGCCCATACCCTCTTTATCCTCCAATAACCGGACACTAACAGCTCTGTATCTCTCATGCTTCTGAGCTGTTGTCTCTGCCCAGAATTCCTAGAACCAGTCCTTGCCCCAACTTTGCCCCTGGTTATGTTCGAACAGCACCCATATTGCTCAGTCTAGCCATCCTCACAACCCACCTCAGGCTCCAGCTCCTCCAAAAAGCCCCCTGGTACCTAGCCCCATTCTGGGTTAGGTCTTCAGGAGCCAAGTACCACTCTGTAGTCTTTGTTTACAACTTTCCCCTAATAAACTGGGAGCCCCATGAAGGTGGGAACAGAACTGAGCTTCTTTGTATTAGCACCAGAGGGCCAGGCACATAATGTGTAATTAAAAAAATTATGGTAGTGAAAGATAAGGTTGAAAAGGTAGATGCCAGGCCAACTAATTTGTAGACACCAAAAAAGTGTTAATGATTTTTTAACAGATGTATCTTCCTGCGGGAGGGAGAAAAGGAGATGACACGGGAAGTTTGGAGACCAGCTAGGGAAGGTATCTGGCAGAAGCTGAGGAAGGGTTTCTCTAGAGGGAGGAAGAGCAGATGGCCAGGCATAAAGAAGAGAAATAGTTAAAGCTGGACCCAACATTTTATATTTCTGAAATAGATCATTCAGAAAGGAGAAATAGGTAATCCAGAAAGGAGAAATAGATAATTCAGAAGGGAGAAATAGGTGAGGGGAAAGGGAAGACAATGAGTTTTGTCTTGAACTTTTTGAGGGAAGAGCAGCACCTCCAGGAGGCAGATGAGGATTCAGACCTTAAGAGACAACTATGGAAGAGTGACTTTGCAAGCTCTGCTAGTGATAAGCAGGGAGGTAAGAGAGCAAAGGCAGGAGGACCATGTTTTAGAGAACACCTCCAAGACAGTCATGGGCTGCAATTGGAAGGAACTTGGCTGAGAAACTGAGCCTGAGAGAGAGGCTGGGATCTGCCCGAGTCCAGCCTTCCTTCTACCTACAGGGCCTGGCGGAAGACATGCCTTAAGAGTATGATCTCATCTTCTTAGGAAAGTCCATGGCCAGCCTCTCCCCATTAATACAATGAGCATCCTCACCCATGAATTTATCATCTTAAACCCTTCTTTTATCTAGGACAACAGATATTCCCATGGCCAGTTGAATTAGCTATGGTACATTCATACAATGGACTACTATTCCACTGAATGATATCCTAAAGAGAAAGAACTCTGTGAATTGATAAGAAGTGATTTCCAAGACTTTTTGTTAAATGAAAAAAAAAAAAAAAGACGCATACATGAAAGTATTTATACTATCCTATCTCTTGAATAAGTATTTGTTCTTGCTTATTTTTGCAAAAATGTATTTGCAAGTAAAAG